GTGATGTTCTGCGATTATCATGCCACAGAGACATCTGTAAACTTCTATCTGACAAGTCTTGTGGGACTCACAAAGTTTAAAGAGAAAAAGAAAAAGAATCCTGCCTCAAGGGTCAACACTTAAGTTTCGGGAAACCGATTAATTAGATGTAGGAAAGTAGAAGGTCTATGGAGGAGGAGTGTTCCTCCTCCTACTAGCCAGTATTTCTAAGACTGATCTCCATCCAGGACAGGAGGTGTTGAGAACAATGCACAGCAGGGATGCTGCCCTTTGGGTCTGGAAAATTTCCTCTATGGTGGGTATGTCTCCTGTGTGATTTTCCAACAGCAGCTCTTTGAAGGAAAGGTAGCTAGCTCCCTTGAAGGAGATGAGGTCATTGAATCAGAAACAAACTGGGACACCTGACCTGCAAGTGAACTTAGATTAGGGAGTAAGGCTACAGATAAGATCACTCCACTGAGAACCAACCAGGAAATCTCCATCGGAAAAGTGAAGATACCAAGTTCTTCTAGGGCCAGGACACTAATTGGACTGCATATTTAGTTTGAGAGAGTCCTACTAAAAACATAATAACTATAGGAGCATAAATGTACAAGACAGACTCCTGGGAAAGTCTGTGCATACAGGTGTGTTTTGTGGGCGAGTGTTGCAAGATTTCCATGTGATTGTGTTTTTATTTAGATACAGAATCTGTTCCTTTTTAAAAGGAGTCCTATTGTGAATCCTTTGTAATGAGCAGGATCTTTGACAAGGAGAAAATTAGCAATCAACTTACTCTTAAGGAGTACTATTTGCTTAAGTTGCCTTCTATAGAGGTAAATGCAGTTAATAAATATTTATGTGGGTTCCTACTTTATGCAAGATTTTGTACTTGGTTCGCACAGCATAGATGAACCAGTAAAACATCTCCTCCCGTAGAGTTCACTATTCAAAACAGACAATAGTATCTATGTAACTTATTATTTAAAATATAGCATAATCCTAAGTATATACAACATTTATTTCTAAAATGAAGATCAAGAGAAAACATTTTCATGTAGCAGGTAAAATATGGAATAGGCCTGAAAAGGTGAGCAGTTACTTTTTAATCAAGTGGAAAAGGCAAGAAAGAGTTTTCAAGGCAAAGCAAATGCAAAAACAATAATGTCAAAAAATGTGTATTGACAAAACCCGGGGCTCTAACAACTCATTGTGTTTCATATATTGGAAGAGTGTGGCAGAGTGGCTAGATCATAAAACTGCATCATGCGAAGTGCGGACTGGGGTGTGTCTCCATGATGAGGAGTTACTTCCCTCTATTACATAGATAATGGGAGATCATTAACCGTTCTTGAGCATGGGAACGACATCATTAGATTTGTGTTTAAAAATAATTAAATGGCAGTGTGGTGAATGAATTACAGAGTATGTGAACAGAGTAAATGAAGTACTTATTGAGCTAATTGGATAATGTACAAGAGAACACTGAGCAAATTTATAAATAACTAAGCTACTGAGTATAAATTGCTGAAATCTGTTGTGAAGAAAACAAATGAAATGATGCATACCTAAGTCTTGAAGACTTCAAGGGAGATGTTTTAGCGATAACAGTAACACTAAGCACCTTTTACAAGGGTATTTTGTCCTGAGTATTAGTATGTGAAGTGCTTTGGACATCCTTAAAGGAACAGCAACCTTACAAACCTTACAAAAACTCAGGAAACTGAGGAGGCACTATGATGACAAGTGAAGAGAAGAGGTGGAGCCTGTAGGTCTGCCTCAAAATATTCTCTTCAGTATCATTACACAAGGCACTAATACATCTTATGGAGCAGGTAGGACATAAGAACGAGAAATCCTCTATAGTCGTCATTAGAAAAGTGTCTTTGCAAACTCCAGTCTTTCAGAATGTTAAATGATGTTATGCAAGATGGTTAACATCAACAAAACATGGGCTAAACAAAACAGTCAATAATCGTGCACTCCACTGAAGGACATCTATGAGCTCTCAAAGTTTTCTAGTGTAAATATCCAATGAAACATGATATAGAGGGTAAAATTTCAGTTATGATTTTTGTGGGACTCAGTGTCCCTGGGGGCATAGTTTGGAAGCTGCTGGTGGACAGACATATCCTACCTTGGGCATTAGATAATGGATCAGTGGTGCTGCCGATAAAACAGGTTTAGACATCTAGGATGACAGGTGTCTGGTTGAAAGGGGCAAACTGCTTAATAGATGGGTCATAACTGGAGGTGCAGGTGTGCTAGTGACCCAGGCATCATATGAGAGACAATGAAGACAAGCTTGGTGGCTGTGATGATCATAATAAAAAGGAAAACACTGGACCAGCAGACCAGAGGCACATTTATATGCACCCCACACACATCAGCAGTCTATATAAAGCTCAGCCGATGCTTAGTTGATGATTAAATCTAATAGTAGTTTGTTAAATTATATCTACATAATACATTTTGCTAAGTTTTAACATGTTTGTGTGCGAAATTTAAATCATATTTTTCTAGTGACCACATTTCCCCACATAACTAACTAAGTAGAGGCATTAGTTTGCTTGCTAAGGTATTATCCTGGTTAATTAAGGAGAGATGGGCTTAAGTATGCACAGAGCACAACCCCATATGCCTGGGTTACATACATTTAAGAAAATACTGTTAGTTTTATAATGTGAATGCAGCCTTGAATTTTAAACATGAGGTCTCCCATTAGTTTAATCCATGGCAACAGAAATTTTTCTCAAACCAAATAGTTCCAGAAGGATCTATTTTAGCAGCAACATCTGTGAACCATTCTAAAGAGTTGCAATAAAAAATAAAATCATATAATATCTGAACAGAAATAAGAAGAGCCAAATTGGATTCCTCTCTGGAAAATGAGCTTCAAATTGTGTTCTAAACCTACAGACTATTAAGGGGGAAAGGTAAAATAATATCATGCTAAAATTATTTAAAAAACAAAGAGTCCCAGGCAAGCATGCCACTGAGTCCTAGATTTTGTTGAGGACATTTCCAATGTCAAGACCAATATTGGCCTAAAGGGAGCCAGAACTAGGGAGAAAGTTTATCCCATTTGTTCAAGCTCCTGACCTTCCTCAAGTTTTATAGACTTCTCTAGATGAGTATACTAAAGCACAACTGTTGGCCTTGTAATTTTTTTGTTTACAAAATCTTATCGTTGTCTGCCCAGTGGATCTTGAAATCCAATATAGAGAAACATTGGGGGTTTGAAGGTTTGGTGGCTTTCTGCATTATCCAGTCTGATCTCTTCTCCCATCTCCACTCCAACCCTCAACCTTCATTTCCCCTGTCCCTTTCTCTGCCTTTTCCTTTATTAAAAAATAACTATATTTTGTTAACTTAGCATATCCCAAATGCTATCATTTTAAACTATTTCTAATATACAACACCATTAATGAAATATTTTATACACTAACTAGTAAGCTTTCAAAACCCAATGTATATTTTGCATGCATAGAACATTTTGATTAACACTAGCATGTTTTGAGGGCTCATGAATCATCTGAGCCTGGTGGCCTTTATGATAAATGCTTTTGCATTTATTAATATATGATGAGAATACAGATTTGAGAAATAATTTAAATGATTTTTGTCAAGTTTGTTTCCAATCATGGTCGAACATTCCTAATATACAATATGCCATTTCCTCCATTTTTAAGTCTACCATTCAGTAGCATTAGGTCACTCACAACATTATCGAAACCATTATCATTATCTATTTCCAGAATATTAGCCAGCCCTTGGTAACCTCTTTCTGTCTCTGCAGGTTTGCCTATTGTGCAAAGCTCATGTAAGTAATGCCACGAAATACATTGTTATATGTCTGCCTTATTTCATGGATTATAGGTCTTCAAAGCTCATCCATGTTTCTCTGCCTCCCATTTGTGATGGTACAGTTAACTCTATGCTCACCAACCATGAACAAAACACATTCTGTGAACCTTTGCTCACACTGTCCCTCTTTCTTATATTTCTCTTCATATCTGACCATCTCCAGACAGAGCTATATCCCTCCTTTCTTCCAACACTATACCATGCAGAATTTCTAACACACTAAATTTGTTCCAGGTTTCGTGACAGCTGTATGGGACAGCTCTGTGAGGTAACAGAAAGATTCACACAGCCTTGAGTCCACCAGACCTCAGTTTCAGATGCTGTCTCTGTGTCTTATTAGCTAAGTTGTCTGTGTAAATTCTTTAAACCTGGCTGATCCTCAGTTTCCTTATCTTTAAAATGAAGACAGGCTGTCGTGTGCAGCATTCCTTAGCACTCTGCTTGGCACTGAAGTCACAGCAGACACCAATCCCATTTTTAGTGGAGCTGAGTCCCAAACTTACTTTCCAAATAAGCATATGGCATTGCCAAAGACTAGAGAAAAATTACTTACGTTATCCAACTATTCAGCCAATGAGATAAATTATATGTATATAACAGTACACTTCCTAGCATGAAGGACCTTAGTAAATGACTGATCTGTTGTTATTGTTTACAAGTATGAACTTCAGTAAGAAATGACTTATGTATGATTCATCTTTGGATTTCTGCCAATGTTTAGCAGTGTTTAGTTGATGTTCAGCAGTTCCTCATGGTATGGGAATCTCCAAAGGGCTGGGTGAGACTTGTGAGGTAGGAAATCATGATTCTGGCTACCCAAAGACAGGTGCAGTGGTAGCATTTTGTTCCATTTCCCTTTGCTTTCTGTTTAGCTTTGTTTTTGAGACAGAGTTTCTTTGTGTAGTCCTGGCTATTTTCGAACTCACTCTGTAGAGCAGGCTGGCCTCAAAATCAAAGATCCACCTGCCTCTGCAAAGTGCTGGGATTAGAGGCTTGCCACACCATATCCAACTGGCAGCATTTCTTTCTAAAAGAGTTAAAATGGAAAAGTCCCTGTGAGTTAGCAACCAAGTTAACATCAGAAGAGGCAAGTAGACCAGGTCCTGGGAGAGAACAATGTGTCAAGTTACCTTTTGGAAAAATGAAGTGTGTACTTGACTTCTTGGCCTTTTGGCTGCAATCAAGTGTATTATTTGTTCTTATCAATTTAGTATGTGATATGTCATCTGTCCAAGGACAAAAGTATTAAATGGATTTTGGAGCAGAAAATGGAATGGAGCATGTCCTTTCCACTCATCAGTCTGGCAGGGTGATTTCTTCTGAAATGGGACACACCCTCAGTGATCTTAAAAACAAATAAGTAAATCAAGGATACACAATCTAACTCTTTAATACCAATTTAACCATGGCTAGGTACAAAGTTCAGTTGCGTGAGGTACATCCACATTGTTGTGAACATCATCTGGTAGTTCTCAGATGCTATCCCAACTAGGCAATAGCTCTCTTCACTCTCTACCCAGCCTTTAGCCTCTGCCACTTGGTATTCTCTTTCCAAGGAGAAAACTGTTTAGAAGAAAGGAAGATGGACTTCAGAGATGAATACTTCACCCTTCATTATCACCGAAGTTTAAAACAGGCAGGAAGCAGTCACATTGTGGTACATACAGCCTGTCACATGCCAAACAAATGAGACTGAAACTTGGAAATGGCAGGTCCTCAGCTGGAAAGCCAGGAACGAATGTCAAGTCCTGTCTAGGAAGCAAGGGGAGGAGCGGTTCCAGAAGTCCTGCTTAGCCTCTGGGTATTAGAAGAGATACAGACCAAGAGCTGAATTGGGGGAGATGTCAGGTCCACAATCCAAGGGCAGGTAGGAGACACCTATCAGAAGAAACAGAAAATGGAGAAAAAGGATGGAAAAGGAAAGGGCAGTAAACATAATTCTCGTGTATACATCTAGGTGTCATGATCCTGTTTAATGGCCTGTCGGGGCTTCCTGTGTCACACTAGGAGAAGCAGGCGTCATGCTCCAGGCAGAGCAAAGGAGGAAGCAGATGAAACAGGAAGACTTTATACCTCCCCTTGACCAGCTGGCACTCGTAAGAACTGAGGCTCATAAATCTTTTTGCCTGATTTCATCAGTGTAAAGATATGTCTTGGGAGGAGAGAAGGAGAGGTATTGAAAAGCACGAAACACAACAGGATTTGTCAAGATTCCACCCACTTTCAGATGAGCCTGCTGGGGAAAGAAGGTACTTTAGGACAACAAAGGGGAAAATCCAAACCCCAAAGCTTCTAAACTTAAAGTCATTAATCTCAGTGTGCAGCCCATCTCCACCCATTCTTTTTATAAATGACCTTTGGCTGGTCCAATCCACTGCCCCTTGGCTCCCCTTAGGATGAATTTTCTTACAGTTTTCAGGTCTTTGTATATTAAGCAGATTCAATGAATAAAACCAGATATTTTTCTTATCCTTCTATTGGGACTCTCAACCTTGTTCCATAATCTTTTTCAAAGTTAAGACTCTCTGGTGCACGTCTCTGAAAATTAAGGTTAACCCAATGGACAAGGCAAAATGAACTTTAATAAATTAATTAGCTAATACAAAAAACAATCAATTCCTTGGCTACAAAAGGCTAGACAACACACTTCCTGTCTTCATAGCACAGCTGTGTTACCTGCAACACCTGTAAGCACAGAGGTAGGAGGACAGTAGAGCCCGAAGTAGATGCAGGCTAAACAGACCACTGGGAAAGGGCCCTATTTATTCTACAGGAAGTGAGACCAAGAATGCAGTGATGTATGGATATCCATAGGTCCTTTGTTCTCAGGCCTCACAATCTAACCTAGAATAGAAGAACTGATATTCTAATGAGGACTAACGAATAAAAAAGAATGACAATGATGGTGATAACCCATGCATGAGAACTTATGGGATGATGATAAACATCATTGTGATAATGACAGAGTTAGAGAAGAAATGCCCAGGGAAACTGAACTTCTGTTTTGTTCAAGTGAGCCAACAAGCATTATATTATAGCTCCAGTGTCTGCTCTTGCCCACTGACAGCATCACGGTGCTCATGCTACGGAGTCTCTGGACCAATCTGGGTCATTGAATTGGTTGTCTTCCAGCTTCTCTGGCTTGACCAGTCTCCCTCCTTGCCCTATGCCCTTACTTCCTTGTCCTCTGGTGCCTGAGTTTTCTATCTCTTCCCCAACCAATTTTGACAATTGTATGTATTTATTTTAATTGCAATTGCTGGCACGGAATCAAGATGTTGGCATAACTACATCCCTTCTAAGGTTGCATGGAGAATCCATTTTCTTGCCTTTCCCGACTTCTGAAGAGTGACATGTCCTTGGGCTCATGAACTTCTTCCCCAAACTGTAAGTCCAGCACCTCCTTGCCCCTTACCCAACAGCTGCTTTTATTTTTCTGGTCTCAGTTGAAAAAGGTTCTCCATTTTTAAGAACTCAAGTGACTCTGGAAATCCAACTGTGTAATTTAGGATAATCTCCCCATTTCCAAATCATGTTTGCAAAAATTGCTTTTGCCATGTGAAGTAGCTTATTCACAGGTTCTTAGGAGTGGGACATGGACATATTTGAAGGTTCTTATTCTGCCTACCACATTGAAGGACTAGAACATCCAGTTCTGTATGGAAGAAATGAAACCTGTTCTCTCTAAAGAAAGCTTTCATCTCAGATGCTAGCTAAAATGGAGAACACTGTGTGTTAATTCACAGTAAAGTTGCATTGACTGGTACAGTTCATAGTTTCTTGTAGCACTGGATCCTAACATTTGAAGAGGAAACTGTGGACTTTGGAGATGACTCACTGTATAAGGAGGAAAACCTTTGTTCAAATTCCAGCACCTAGGTAAACAACCAGGCAGTATAGTTCTGCAAGCCTAACACTGAGGACAGAGGCATTCTGGTCCAGGAGCACTGGTCAGCCAGTCTAGGTGAAATGCTGACTTCCAGTTCAGTAAGAGATCCTGTCTCATGCAAATCAGGTGGCATGTGACAGAGGAAGACATCTCATGTGTCCCTCTAGTCTCCGCATCCACATGTACAAATGCATGTACCTACACATTTGTGAACACACACACACACACACACACACACACACACACACTAAAGAAACCTTTAAAAAGTTGGGTAGATACATACATTTTGATTTCAACTAAACTTTTCTCTTTTAAGAAATCCTATAGTGGAGATGAAACAGGAAAAAATAAAATAAAACTAAAATACTTTCCAGAACGACAAGGGCGGGACAATGGCCAGAGTCCTTTGCTTCCCTCCCTTTCTGGTCCCTTTGTGTAGTATTGAGATCTGAGCAACTTAAGCAAAGGCCTAGATTAGCACATAAATGGCTGGGGAGAAGTTGACAGTGGGTTGCCCATGCTTGGAATGGAAACCCTATTGCTTTTTCCTTCCCTTTTCAAGCCATTTTTTTCATCATCCATCCTACAGAAACAGGAGTATTTGACTTTGGCATGGAATGTCAAGTAACTTCCTAGTCAGTTTGGTACCTTGCTGAGTCTCTTGAGAAGCCTATGGCTGCCCTAGGGCACTACTGTTCTTTTCTCGAATGCCCCTTCCTGCTTTCCCTTAACCCTCGTGGTTAAGTACATACTTAATCCCCGATTTTAAATAAAGGCACTTTTTTTTCAATCCAACAAAACAATATATTTTCCTTAATGTTTATTTGCTTTCTACCTGTGCACCGCCTTAGGAACACTCTGAAGTCCATTTCAGTGCTGAACTTACAGCATAAGCCCACAGTGGTTACTTTTCTTATTGCTGTTACCTGACACAAGGCAATGAAAGGGACAAAAGGTTGAGTCTTGGCTTACAGTCTGGAAGCATATAGTCTGCCATGATAGGGAAGGTACAGCAGCAGGAGCTCAAGAGAGCTGGACTCGTTGCATCCACACACCAGAAGCAAAGAAGGGCTAGGAAGTGAGGACACGCTATAAAACAGACTTCTCCCCTTCCCTCCCTTCACCTTCCTCGGCCCGCTCCCTCCAATAACATAATTCGAGCAAGTTCCAGAAGGTTTTGAAACAGCAGCACCAACTGGAGACTGCGCTCAAATAGGCCTATGGATGACAAACCACAGCAGTGCTCAGTGAATACCGTTTGAATAAATGAACGATATCTTAGCTGGGTGGTGGAGCTGGGATTACTGTTGGTATATTGGACAATCCTCACAATGCTAAGTCAGTCTTCCGTAATTTTCTAGGTCTTCATGTGTTTTATTTCCTTAATCTTCTCAAAAATCTATAAAATTCGTATTTTTTTAGTTATTTCAGAACTAAAGACTTCAAGAAAGTTGCCCGCAATGATCCAGTGTTCACAGCAAGGTCTCCAGACACCAAAGCCCATGGTTCTTTACGTGTCTTATCTGCTGTCTTGCTCCTGACCCTTCTGTTTCAGTGAGAAAGCTAGGGTTAGATCCGGGTGACTAACCTCTGAACTCAAAACCATAATGGCAAGGTGAGGGAAGAACACTCAGGGTCTGGAATGGTCTTAGGTATAATTATGGGCAAGGTTGGTTTTGGAATCCACCATTTCATACTGTCTGTGTTTAATTCTCTTACTTGTGCTGTAATGATCATGTGCATTATTCAGAGGGTCAAATGAACACTTTTGGCTGCTATAAATGCCCTCTTCATGGACACCTCACCTGTTCACTTTCCTCCTCATATGATTACATGCACAAACATTTTGGTAAATTCTTTAGAAACGGATCAAACAAATTGTCAAGCTTTGTAACTGGATCCTACCTGGGATGAGCTTTTAGAGATCTGACATCATTACCACAAATCCAGCATTGTGTAATTGTGAATTTTTTTCAAGTCCTAAACTAGAACATACAACATTTTTTTCCTGATTCCTAGGTTATGCTTTTGTTGAAAAACCAAATTCAGACAATACTCTTTGTGCTTCTGGTTTGTTGTTAACAGTGAACCAGTTGCTGTGTTTTCAGGGAAGACTTATCTAATAGGCTATGTCTACTAGTATCTAGTAGGGAACTCCGAGCCAGCTGACTGATTGGCTAAGTGAATTATATAAACAGAGAAGACCCTGGAAACTACTCCAGTAATTTTTTTCTGCTCATAACATAGGTTCATGTTATATAGTGTAATAGATCATTTTCCTTTACCTCTTCTATGCTTGTTTGAAATGCACCAGGAAATTTGGGAGGATTTATATATCCTTATCTTTGGGTTTTCCACCAGCATATTCATAAAGTTCCCTTTCCCATAGAGATTTTAGTATGAAAAGAAAGATCAGAATAACCTTCCAAGTGACTTTTAAATACCAGTA